GTTGGGCTTCAGTGTGTGTGTTGATGGCGATGGAGCAGGTGGAGAGAGAGAGATGCAGCTAACCCAGGTGAGGGTGGGTGGGAAGGTGCTGGAGCAGAGAGGTCTGCGTCCAGGCCCAGAACAAGGAGGCGGGAGGAGGAAGAGGAACGTGTGGCTCACTGCATGCACCCCGAGCAGCTGAGTGTGGCCCACACAGGTTGCCTTGTCCTTAAATTAAACATATGAATGGACTGCAGTCCGCAGACACCGGAGGGTACAGCTCAGGGGGGAATGAAAATACTCAAATGTGAACGCTGCTGGCCCGCCTGCACCCGAGGCTAATTTAAGCAAACGCATTTGGACCTTTCTCAAATGATAGAGGCGTCCAGGAGGCAACATTTAATTTGGTGCAAAGAGCTCCCAAGGCAGGAACCCCGGGTTCATGGCATTAACTAACACGTCAGGAGTTTCCTTCTGTAATGCAAGAGCTAAGTGGTCACTGATCGATTCCGGATCAGGGCATATGCCCGGGTTGTGGGCTCAATCCCCCATGGGGGGAGTGCAGGAGGCAGACAGTGTGAGAACCACTCTCACATCCATGGTTCTGTCTCTCCCTCTCCCTTCCTCTCTCTCTAAAAAGCAAAAAATAAATAAAAAATTAAAAAGCAAGATACAAAATTCCTCATAAAATACAACCTCAATTTTATAAAATATATGGCCTATAAGTGGCACCAATAAATGTTTATTTAAAAAATAATAATAAATAAAATATATGGCTTGAAAAAAGGCTGAAAGGAAATACATTAAAAATATTAACAGTGCTGCCAAAACCGGTTTGGCTCAGTGGATAGAGCGTCGGCCTGCGGACTGAAGGGTCCCGGGTTCGATTCCGGTCAGGGGCATGTACCTGGGTTGTGGGCACATCCCCAGTAGGAGATGTGCAGGAGGCAGCTGATCGATGTTTCTAACTCTCTATCTCTCTCCCTTCTTCTCTGTAAAAAATCAATAAAATATATTTAAAAAAAAAATATTAACAGTGCTTATCTTAGGGTAGTGAAATTACAAATGATTCTTTTAAATACTTTTCTGGACTTCCAAAATTTTCTATATAATAAATCTGTACCCTACTTGTATGAGAATCTAACTGATATAACCTAATGGACATATTGCTGTACCCTAAAAGTTTCTATCTATAGTTTATAAAGCAAAATAGTCATACAAAAGCCTTTCGTAACTATAATCGTGCATGACAGTAGAAACACAGCCTAGATCTGTTAATTAAATATTGAATATATCTCCATGTAATTGAACTAGCATTTAGTTGAACCCCCGCAACAGACCTTGAAATACAATGAAGGTAATTAGCTCAGGTCTACAAATCACCCTGCACTGAGACCAGAATTATCTTCAATTTATTCCACTACAGTTTTGCCAAAAGGAGGAGTATTGCCACCACTTCATCAATAAACGCCGTTGTTCACACCTGCAAGAGGGTGGACTGAGGCTGGGGATGAACGCAGCGGCCACGGCATCATGTTCCGGTGCAGTAAGAGCACCGCATGTGCCAGACACGCCACGTGTTTCATCACCCATTCCCCCCACTGCACAGAGCCAGACTCCCCAGGACACACTTACGGCTGGTGTCGCGGACTCGGAGGCGAGACCCCCTGCCTCAGGTCACGGGAGAGCGACAGCTGCATCGGCAGCCGCTGTGTCGGGTCCCTCACACCCTCAGTCCCTGACACGTCACAGGTGTGCAATCTGCTCGCTGACCTCGAGTAGAAGAGTCTAGAGCCGCCCAGGTCCAAGTGGCACTAACGCTCATCCTCTCTGCAAGACGCCCCCTTCCCTCTCCCACACACAGAGGGGACCCCAGAAAAGCCTCCACGGGGCTCAGCGTGCTGCCGCCGCAGGTCCACACACAGCCGACGGGGCCGGGGGCCTGCACAGACCACACACTCCCTCCCTGGGCTGCAGACTGGCCACAGAGGGCTTGATTCTTCAGTTAAGTCAAGAAGCCAATGTCCTTGCCCTGCCGGTTTGGCTCCGTGAATGGAGCGTCGGCCTGCAAACTGAAGGGTCCCAGGTTCGATTCCGGTCAAGGGCACAAGCCTGGGTTGCAGGCTTAATCCCCGGTGGGGACGTGCTGGAGGCAGCCAATCAATGATTCTCTCTCATCATTGATGTTTCTCCCTCTCTCTTCCTCTCTGATATCAATAAAAATATTTTTTTTTAAAAAGAAACCAATGTCTTTGCCCTGGCCGGTGTGGCTCAGTTGGTTAGGTGTCATCCCATGCCCAGGAGGTTGCTGGTTAGGGCACGTGCCCGGGTGGCGGGCTTGATCCCTGGTAGGGGGCGTGCAGGAGGCAGCTGTTGGATGTTCTACTCCAAGCATGTCAAACTCATGGCTGGCGGGCCGCATGGCTAAGGCATGCATCCTGCTGGCCACGAGTTTGACATGCTTGTTCTACTCTCACATAGATGTTTCTCTCACTCTCAGACTTTCCTCTCTCTAAATATCAATAACCATTAAAAAAAAAAAGAAAGAAAGAAACCATGTCCCGTACAAAGCAGGGCCCTGCTAACCTAGCGTGCTGTGCTCACGCCCTCTGTGGGGACACTGGCGCCAGCCTCGCTGAGTCACACAGAACCGGCACGGTACCTGCTCGACTTCATGGGCTGCTCGTACGGCGTCTGCTGGATGGCGTACTCCTGGTACCCTCTCCGAGGCGCCAGGTCCGCGGAGGTGGCCTCGGGGCTTGTGGCTCCTGTTTCTGGGGGCCCCGCCTCCACTGGAATAATCTTGGTGGCACCTGAGGTGGAGGCACAAGGCACCGCATGTTAGAGAGGAGCCGCGAGCGGCCCCGCCCCAGCCTGGCGCAGGAGCAGAGCCTGGGGAGTAGGGTTCCTTACTGCCCGGTACCCTGCATGGCATCAGTTTCCCTTCAGTTCATATATGTAACATGTGTGCATGTGTTTGGGGGGGCACTTTTTCTAATAGCCTATCAAAGCGTCCTGAGGTCCATTTTCACTTGATCTATTAGCTAAAAACACAAACGTATCGATAGATAGATGCGTATGTTTACCCGCAGGGCGTTACATGAATCACGTGTGGGACTGCATAAAAGTCAACTGGCATCGGGACCGTGTAAGCAGTGGGATCAGCTGGCCAGCGGTGAACAGGCAGGCAGGCGGCCTGGGTCCATGCCCATAGGACCTTCCCCACCACTCGGGCCTCTGCTTCGCCCAGGACTCACACAAAGGTCGCTGCCCTGCATTCTACATGGGAAATGGCCCAAGGCCTTTTAGAGCATCGGACACTTTGTACGCATGTACATGCGTGTGCATACACGCACATGCATGTATCGAGTGCAGTAAAGGAGAGGCTCTGGCCTACCCTGTTTCTGTGATAGCGAAGGCAATGAATCACCCCTTCACTCCCACTGACAGGATCTCAGAGCACTAGTCAGCTTCTCAGACGGTATTGTAGCCACTTCCCCCAGACCCACACTGCTTTGGGGGGGGGGGGGGCAGGTAACGTGGCTTTCCAGAAAGTTCCAGTCACCAACTTTTATCAGGATCATTCTCTACTTGTCCCTGTACCCGGCACTGAGGTATTAAGAGGCGTTTATTCAGCACTTTCACGTTAAATAATGAGTCACTGTTAGCACTGAAAATAGATGCTTAAAAGGCTGCAGCTGTTTTTAAAATCTTAAACTTGATTTTTATTTGACACCAATCACTCCAAATGGATTGGAAAAAATACACCATTATTTTACTTTGGAATCTACGGTCACAAACTGCTTTTAGTCTAACCCTTCCTGGAAGAGACCTTTTTTTAAAAAGTAGTAAAATATGTCCACTTGCTACTTTCTGTGAAAGGAGAGGCAGACAGAAATGCCCAGCATTGTAAGCACTTGATGAGCCCGCTAAACCGCACAAGGGGACGCGGGCGGAGGGAACCGCACACTCAGGGGTGAGGGGAGGGCGTCCAGGAGAGGGGGGGTCGGAGCAAAGAGAAGCTTGCGGTTGGCACTGCTCCTGATGGGGAAGGGAAGGGAGGGAGGAGAGAGGAGGGAAGGAAGGGGAGGGGAGGGAAAGGGAGGAAGAGGTGGCTGCAGCCAGTGGCCGCAGCAGCAGCCCTGGCACCTTTCCTCTCTCCCTGCCCCACAGCAGCCCTGGCAGTGACACTGCTGCGGCCCTGATTCATGGGTGATTAAACGGCGAGCCCGACAGTGAGCGAGCTGCCCAGGATCCCAGGCAGCCCTGGCACAGCCTCGCCCAGAGACTCTCGTGTTGTCACTCCTCAACTGTCGTAGTCACTTGGGGTAGGTCACCTGGGATGGGTCACCTGGTACAGGTCTCCTGAGGTAGGTCACCTGGTGTAGGTCACCTGAGACGGGTCACCTGGGGTAGGTCACCTGGGGTAGGTCACTGGGGGTAGGTCACCTGGGGTAGGTCACTGGGGGTAGGTCACCTGGGGTAGGTCCCCTGGTGTAGGTCACCTGAGACGGGTCCCCTGGGGTAGGTCCCCTGGGGTAGGTCACTGGGGGTAGGTCACCTGGGGTAGGTCCCCTGGTGTAGGTCACCTGAGACGGGTCCCCTGGGGTAGGTCCCCTGGGGTAGGTCACTGGGGGTAGGTCACCTGGGGTAGGTCCCCTGGTGTAGGTCACCTGAGACGGGTCCCCTGGGGTAGGTCCCCTGGGGTAGGTCACTGGGGGTAGGTCACCTGGGGTAGGTCCCCTGGTGTAGGTCACCTGAGACGGGTCCCCTGGGGTAGGTCCCCTGGGGTAGGTCACTGGGGGTAGGTCACCTGGGGTAGGTCCCCTGGTGTAGGTCACCTGAGACGGGTCCCCTGGGGTAGGTCCCCTGGGGTAGGTCACTGGGGGTAGGTCACCTGGGGTAGGTCCCCTGGTGTAGGTCACCTGAGACGGGTCCCCTGGGGTAGGTCCCCTGGGGTAGGTCACTGGGGGTAGGTCACCTGGGGTAGGTCCCCTGGTGTAGGTCACCTGAGACGGGTCCCCTGGGGTAGGTCCCCTGGGGTAGGTCACTGGGGGTAGGTCACCTGGGGTAGGTCCCCTGGTGTAGGTCACCTGAGACGGGTCCCCTGGGGTAGGTCCCCTGGGGTAGGTCACTGGGGGTAGGTCACCTGGGGTAGGTCCCCTGGTGTAGGTCACCTGAGACGGGTCCCCTGGGGTAGGTCCCCTGGGGTAGGTCACTGGGGGTAGGTCACCTGGGGTAGGTCCCCTGGTGTAGGTCACCTGAGACGGGTCCCCTGGGGTAGGTCCCCTGGGGTAGGTCACTGGGGGTAGGTCACCTGGGGTAGGTCACCTGGGGCGGGTCACCTGAGGTGGGTCACCTGGGATAGCTTCGTGTGCGGTTAACACCACGCTGACGATGGGCTTCTTTGCTCCGGGCCCCTGCGTGGCCTCCTTTCCCAAAGAGACCTTCTGGACCTTTTCCGTCCTCTGCGTCCGAGGTCGCCTCGGGGCCTTTTCTCGATCTTCTTCCTTAAACTTCTTTTCCAGTTCAAGGTCAGATTCATTACCTAGCGAGCCAACACCAAGAGGGATAAAGTGGTCACAGCAGCGAGCGGGGGAGGCGCAGGTGACCTTCCATGGGGGCGACGGGGATGCATCTGGGAGGCACACGGACGGGTCCCCTGAGCGAGCCGCCCCTGCGTCACCTCGGGCCTAGTCTCTGGTTCTTCATCGCATTCGAGTCACCCTGCCCAGGCCACCCCCAGGCCCTGGATGCCTCGTGAGCCCCCCAGAGTCCTTGACGTCAGAACACGCACACGGCAGGCCCCCGCGGCCGTGGGCAGAGGAAGCGCTAACTGTGCGGGCGGTCGGGTGGAGATGCCCACACGTTCGTTTTTCACCCACACTGCGGTGACAAATGTTCTAAAGTGCCTGTCCTACCTGCCGAGAACTAATTAAATCTCGGGCGCCCAGGAGCCGAGTGCCATCGGCCTCGTTACTGTGAGGCCCAGGACAGCGGCCAGAGCGCAGTGACACGGACTCTACCCGGCTCCCCACTGATGCTCCCTCGCTGCTCACGCGGTGGCAGTTTCAGAACCGCATTGGCCCACAGTCATTCCATCTGACCTGGGAATGTGCACCGCGCCCCTCCCGCGGCCTGCTCACATCCTCCGCTCCCTCTCCCTCGCTCTGAGGAAAGGCAGGTGCGCCCCTGCTTGTGGTCCCCATAGAAAGAGGCTGGGAAACCAGCACAGGCGGGCACTCGGCCTCTGTCTTCCCCGTGACCCTGTCTCCCTGCATCCTGACTGCAGAGAACCCCAGCATGTCCCAAAGGTGCCATGCCCCACGCTGCAGGCTTCTGGTGAACTGACAGGAGAGAAAATGCCTCCCCACCCCTCCCCGCCCCCACAATGCCAGGCATGGAGCCCTCCTGTGTTCCCCCACAGACATGGGCCCCGCCCTGCCCTCTCACATCTGTCATCTGCTCCCCTCTCTGTCCTCCTGGGCAGACACTCAGCACCAGTCGAGGAGCAGGAAGGAGAGGAGGCGGCGAGGACCTGCGGCTGCGGGGACCTCCCTCGCATCTGCTGAGCCAGCTCCTGGCGCCCAGAGCACCAGGCGCAGTGGCGTGCCTGCCCGGCTTTAAGGCTGCGGGCCAGGGCCATCACCCAGCACCCTCAGCAATCAGTTGTCACAGGAGAGAGCGTTGCTTTTCAACCCGGGGGTTATAACCCACAGCAGCCACGTGTCTTGGGGAGAACCATCCCTTAAAAGCCCGCTGTGTCTCAGGCTCCATCACCTGCCACCAGGTCCTGCCACGCAGGATGCAGCAGGCAGCCCACTGAGCCTCGGACAGCCAAATGCAAGGGGTTGCTCCCTCTGCCTCCCAGCCCCAAGGGGCAGCTCCCCCCACGTGGTCACTGAGCAATGCAGCCCCAGGCTGGTCTCCATGATGCTGGATAAGAAGATCTCCCCTCACCCAGTCAGCGTGGCTCAGTGGTTGAGCGTCGACCTATGAACCAGGAAGTCACAGTTTGATTCCGGGTCAGGGCACATGCCTGGGTTGTGGGCTCCATCCCCAGTGAGGAGTGTGCAGGAGGCAGCTGGTCAATGATTCTTCATTATTGACTAGAGGTCCAGTGCACGAAATTCGTGCACAGGTAGGGTCCCTAGCAGCTGCCAGCTGCCAGCCGAGGCCTCCCTTCCTTAGTTCAACATCGCCCCCTGGTGGTCAGCGCATGTCATAGCAAGCGCTCGAACTCCCATTGGTCAAACTCCAGAGGGGACACTTTGCATATTAGGCTTTTATACAGAGACTACAGGCCCGTTGCACGAAGAGATTCGTGCAATAGGCCTTCCTTCCTCTGGCTGCTGGCACCAGTTTTCCTCTGGCACCCGGGACCCAGGCCTTAGCTCCGGCCACAATGGAGAAGGCAAGCCTCTTCAGTCTTCAGTTGTCTTCAGTCTTCACTCCGTGCCTGCATATGCAAATTAACTGTCATCTTTGTTGAGTTAATTTGCATACTCATCCTGATTGGCTGGTGGTCGTAGCGGAGTGACACCAATTTGCATGTTTCTCTTTTATTAGTATAGCTGTTTCTATCTCTCTCCCTCTCCCTTCCTCTCTGACATCAATGAAAACATGTTTTTTTTTAAAAAAAAAGAATCATCATGAAGGCTGCAAGTGCCTCTCAGGTAAAATCTTCACCTGAGTGCCCTTCTCCTTTAAGAAGGACTTAACGAGAGGAGGCACCCCTGCCGCTCTGCACAGCGTGACCCCAGGCACCACAAGCTTGGAAGGTTCAGGAGTCCCTGTGCAAGCCCCACGTACTGGCTTCTGTGGCTGCAAAATGCTGTTCAAAAACACCAACTGCTGCACAGAATGGCATCAAAAGAAACCTGCTTTCCTGGTTCCTTTGACTATTCAAAGGCAGAATGAAGTAAAAGCTGAGTGCATATCAAAGGTGTTATTTTAACTTGCCACGGCGCAGGGCAGGGGAGACGTCTATTTTGTTTTCCTCTAACTGCTTTAACAAGCTAAAGAGTCAAGGCCAACTGTGTGAAATGTCGCTAAGCTGCTCTCTACAGAGCACGAATGAAAACAATGACGCGAGACTTTCCCTAAGTGCGGCATATTGTGCTTGGCAACCGAGGAGCAATGGCTGTGGACGTCAGCCACGGGCAGCTGGGCATAAGGTCGTCTCTGCATGTGTCAGAGGCGTCGGCAGCGGCCAGCGAGGGAGAAACACCCAGATCTTCTACGTTTCCTGTCGGTATTTGTTCTCGTCTATTTAGTCACTCAAATCAATGGAACTCGAGGCCGGTTTGTAGACAGGTCGTTGCCAGAGGAAGCTGACCATCTTATTAGGAAGCGCCGTGCCTGCCAGGGCCACAGACACCGCCTAACTGATGACAACGCAGAAAACAAACATCGAGCCACCGGAGCGGAATTCCTACTTCTTACGAGAGGTGCACTACAATGAATGCAACCTGCGTCCACAAAGCAGAAAGGGGCCTGGTTTTAAGACGCTAGTGGGTAGAGCACGGCTGGCCACAGGGCAGGAGGGGGAGACGTGGGAGGGTGCCTGACCCCACCTCAAATGAGTGCGGCTCTGGACGATCGTCCGTGGGGACCCCAACTTCCTCAATTATAAAATTCTGAAACTGGGTCTGAAAAGGCGGTTTTCTAAGCCAATCTTAGAAGGTCACATGCTGTGGGATTCAGCTGATCTTGAAATGTCAAAATTCCCGAACTGGAGCACACCCATGGCTGCTGGGCATGGGGGTGGGGTGACGATGAGCGGGAGCCCCGGGAGATTTTGGGGTGACAGGACCCTGCTGTCTCCTGCCTGCAGGGGCGGCTGCACGAAGCTGCATGTGTGAGGGTGACAGGGCTATGCGGGCATCACCTCCCTGGCCACGCCCTGATTTTGCGCCTCGTGATGTGAGATGTAGCCACTGGGGGGGCGGGAGTGGGGGGGAGTGTACATGAGACCTCTTTACGGGCTTCCCGGTTTCCTGTGAGACCACAATTATTTTCAAAGCACAAAGTTCTCCTTTGAAAGGGTTTCTCAGACTTTGAACCAGACGGCTCTTCTTTTCTCTGCGGAGCCCACAATTTGAAATATTTTATCGACCAAATTGCAGGCGTGAAGATCATCCCTTTGCCCGTATCTACTGCAGATATGCATTTCCCTCCCCTCACCGAGGGTGGAGACCGTTTCACCCTCTGCACCCCCAGATCACCTACCGAGTCGCCCCGTGACTTGGGCTCCCCGGGCTCCAACCACCCCAGGACACGTTCAATCAAAGATTTCCCTCAAGCCCTAACCAGTTTGGCTCAGTGGACAGAGCGTCGGCCTGCGGACTGAAAGGTCTCAGGTTTGATTCTGGTCAAGGGCATGTACCTTGGTTGCGGGCACATCCCCAGTAGGGGGTGTGCAGGAGGCAGCTGATCGATGTTTCTCTCTCATCGATGTTTCTAACTCTCTATCCCTCTCCCTTCCTCTCTGTAAAAAATCAATAAAATAAAAATAAAAAGATTTCGCTCGGTCATAGCCTGTGATCATGACAAAAATAAGCTCTTTCCCAGAGGTGAGGGTTGTATAAATCCGTGCTATTTCCAAGTAACGACGGGACCGGGAAAGCGGACAGGAGCGGTTAGAGCTCTTAGAGACCCTGCAGTTACCTGCGTCGCCCTCGGCCTCGCCCAGGCTCAGCACGATGATGCAGATGTGCTTCCTCAGCTGGCGCAGGTTGGAGAACTTGCGCGAGCACTTGGGGCACTCCAGGCAGCCGGGGGACAGGCTGCTGCCCTCCTCCGGGGCCCGCGGAGGGGCCTCGCTCGGACCCACGACGCTCCCCACCAGCTCCTCCTCGGCGCTGGGCTTCTTGGTGGACCCCTTGGGCCTGCCCCTCTTCCTCTTCGTGACGGACAGCTCTACGGGAAAGCAGAGGGCACGATGCAGTCACACGGGCCCTGGGCAGGGCATACACGCACCACCTAGCGTGGGAATCAGTTCTGATGTTTCTATCTCTCTCTCTCTCTCCTTCTCGTTTCCTCCCTCTCTAAAAATCAATGAAAACATTTTTTTAAGAAGAATAAACTGTTTCGCGTACTCACAACTGGAAACCCACCCTGCACAGTCAGTGTGTAATGCTGTGACTTGGAGTCACTGTAGCAGGACCTCTGCACAGGCTGCTTCTGGCACGTGGGCACCACCAGCCCCCGGTCCCCAACCCCACTGAGACCCAGGCTCAGACACCAGCGAGGACGCCTCTGGGGAGGGTGCTCGGAGGCGGCGAGGCTTTTCATGCTCTGAATGCAGGACACAGCTAGTCCGATTATTTCAAGGCCTCGTAATTATCGCAGCCAAACTGTTCTGATCCAAAAAGAGAGAAAATAATTATAATCTGAAACCGCAAATCAGAGGACTAGAGACCTAATATTTCTCGAGGTTCTCAGCGACCCAGAGATTTAAATGTCAGGGTCAGAGCTGCTTCAGAGCAAGTTTCAAGTCATTTCACAACTTGCATTTCTTCTGAAACAGCATTCGCTGTTAAGGCATTCGTCTCCAGCGTGGAGGTGGGGATGGAGAGGGTGAGCAAGCCCTGGCTGGTGTGGCTCAGTGAGATGCACGATGTCCCAGGCACCAAGACTCCCAGGGTGGGATTCCAGGTCAGGGACCAGGCCAGGTTTTTGGACTCGATCCCCACTAGGGGGGGTACAGGAGGCAACCCATCCTTGTTTCTCTCTCATGGATATTTCTCTCTCTCCCTCTTCCTTCCTCTCTAACATCAATGAAAACATTTATAAAGAAAGAGGGCTGAGCACCATGCTGCGGTGACATGGAGAGGCGCGATCCCAGCTGACGTGACTTGGCCGCAGGGAGTGGGCACCGCCCGGCTGGCATCCCACCTGCAGGAGGCATCTGTGGCCCCTATCACCTGAATGAATTACCCTCTTTACTCATTTTTGTAACATTTGGACAATAGTTCATTTCTATGGCCCGAGTTTCTAACAGGAAGAAAGGGGTGAGCAAGGTGCATCTCCACCCGTCCCACATCCGTGGACATGCCAGGGCCCATGATGTGCATGCCAGATGGACATCAAGGGGCCTAAACTGGACCCGAAGGGCGCCAAAGCGGACATGACAGCCGCCGTCCCACATCCACAGGGTGGAGACCACGCCCACAGCCAGAGGACAGTACTCGCAGACCCAGGCCCAACGCCAGCAAGGGGCGGAGAGGACCGCCCAAGGGTTTTATTTAATCAAAGACAAGGTGAGCGCGATGAAAGCAAGAGCCCCACCTCATCAAAAATGTACATCACTCAAGTCGCAAGGCCCTTTCCCCGCCATTAGCCCATCTTAGCCTCGTAGAAGCCGGAAGAGAGGGCGCAGCCCATGTAATTTTCAGACCGGGAACGGAAACGCGCGTTCCGCACCCGCAGCCTGGATCTGGGTTTCCTCGCTCCCCGCGGTGGGCCCTGGACAGGCCCATGTGGCCAGCATGCGGGGTGCTGAGAACACGGCTGCGGGGGTGCCGACCTGGGTTCCGAAACCCCCGAGCCTCGGTTTCTACCACAACAGACACAACCGACTCCACGTTATAGAGTCAGTTAATATGAGAAATCCACCAAAATGCTGGCCTGGCACTCAGGGGGTGGCCCACCAATGACAGCTGTTCACGTGGCGGACACGGCCGTTAGCATTCCGACGGGCTCTCTCTGAAGAAGCTGGCCCCTCCCGGCCAGGCCGCTGTTAGATCACGTGGGGCCTCGATGTTCTCGTCCATCAGAGCCCTGTTCCCTGATTTCCTCATTTTATTTATTTTTTTTAATATATTTTATTGATTTTTTACAGAGAGGAAGGAAGAGGGATAGAGAGTTAGAAACATCGATGAGAGAGAAACATCGATCAGCCGCCTCCCCCACAACCCCCACCGGGAATGCGCCCGCAACCAAGGCACATGCCCCTGACCGGAATCGAACCCGGGACCCTTCAGTCCGCAGGCCGACGCTCTGTCCACTGAGCCAAACCGGTTACGGCTGATTTCCTCATTTTAAAGCAGATCACACACCAAGGGCTCCATGACGCCTCAGGCCACGGCCAGCCAGCCTGCCAGTGCCCCTGCAGCTCGATCTCTGCTCAAACCAACTGGAGGATCTAGAACAGCCATGGGCAAACTACGGCCCGCGGGCCGGATCCGGCCCATTTGAAATGAATAAAACTAAAAAAAAAAAAAAAAAAGACCGTACCCTTTTATGTAATGATGTTTACTTTGAATTTATATTAGTTCACACAAACACTCCATCCATGCTTTTGTTCCGGCCCTCCGGTCCAGTTTAAGAACCCATTGTGGCCCTCGAGTCAAAAAGTTTGCCTACCCCTGATCTAGAAGAACCTGGAACACGAGCAGGGGCGGGCCTGACAGTCCACCTCCCTGGCAGTGATTTCCAGCCAACCCTGAACTGAAGCTCAGATGGTTAGAGGGATAGATGGATAGGAGCCAAACAGGGCTCTCCGGAGACCCACAGAAATTCCTCCTCTAGCAAGCCCAGCTGCCCAGCCTCCCTCGGGACAAACAAATGTGTACACACACACACTCACCCATATACACACACACTCCTATACACAATCACACACACACACACACACACCCATATACACACTCACACACACCCATATACACACTCACACACACCCATATACACAATCACACACTCACCCATACACACAATCACATACACACACACCCATATACACAATCATACACTCACCCATATACACAATCACACACACACACACACACACCCATATACACAATCCCACACACACTCACCCATATACACAATCACATACACACACACCCATATACACAATCACACACTCACCCATATGCACACTCACACATTCTCTTATACCCACACATACCTATGCACAGGAGCTTGGCCCGTTAGGCCATTCTTTCTGGGGCCACAGCCAGATTTGATTAGGGAGCGGGAGAGGAAGGAGGGCCTCCTGCAGCCTGAGAAGATGAAAAGGCTGTAAAATAAGGCAGAGGACTGCGGGACCTTTGTGTCGTAAAGGGAGACCAAAATGATAAATCAATTACTGCTCAGTTAAAGGTCTAATTAAGTATCTCTCAAGCTAAAATGCTTTGTGAAGGTTAAACCTGAATGGAAATCGCTGGAGAGGAACTAAGCCTCCACCAGCCTCGAATACCATGGGCCGCACAGAGGAAAGGAGGAGGGCTGGGCGTTCCGACTAAAAGACTTTGGAAGGAATTTTCTCATATTAAAGCGTCTGAGCTATTAACTCAGGAGAAACACCTTTTCAAATTAAATGACACAGGCACCCAGTCTTCGTATACACAGAAAATGTATTCCAGGAGAATTAAGTCAGAAGCAAATTAGTTAATAAGGAAAATAATTTATGGAAGTAGCTCAATGGTAAGAATTTGATTACACCTGGGACCAAAGAGCGAAACCGCCTTCCCCCGGCGTCCCTGACGAGCAGGAGAGCAGGACAGGGACGGACTGCATCCGGAGGACAGAACCGGGGTGTTGGTGGGGCTGCAGGAGCCCAGAGAAGACCTCCTACCCCCGCCCCAGGCCGAGGGACGAGTTCCCAGAGGCGACCTCGAGCTGCCTGAGCCTTAGGAACAGGCAGGGGAACTGGGCAAAGACCCTGCCAGGCCCCCAGGCAGAGCGATGGGCCAGGGCCTGCAGGATGGCGAGAGGGAGGCCCTGGGCCTGGGGGCTCACGGTGGGGGAGGCGGGGGAGGTGGTCCCCCAGGAGGAGGGAGGGTTCAGGACCAAGGCCGGGGGACGGGGCTATCCCTGACCAACAGTAAGGAGGGAAGCGGGGAGCCAGGACACGTGCGCCTTATGGACACCCACACACATCATCCCATGGGAAAGGCATCTGCCCTATTATCACTTGTTCATTTATGATTTATAAATGGAATGAAAAATTCAAATTACTTTATCTCTGACTCACATTGCATTTCAGCAGGAAAAAATCTTAATAAGCAAAGCCGGATACAAGGAGAATGAGCCGCTTGGTAACAGGATTTCGCAAAGTTCTTTCCATGGGAATCTGGAAGACGGCTACCTGCCGTACGAATTCTACAAAAGAGACTATGCATTTTCCTGCGTTTACAGATGTTCAACCCGAGGCAGGTATACACACACCTAAAGTTCCTTTATATCCTATATAATAAATCCCTAATATGCAAATCGACCAAACAGAGAAACGACCAGTCGCTATGACGCACACTGACCACCAGGGGGAAGATGCTCCATGCAGGAGCTGCCCCCTGGTGGTCAGGGGGAGCGTCGCTCAGCCAGAAGCCGGGTTTACAGCTGGTGAGCACAGCGGCGGTGGTTGGAGCGGGCCTAAGTCGGCAGGTGGACATCCCACAAGGGATCCCAGGCTGCAAGAGGGCACAGGCCAGGCTGAGGGACCCTCCTCCCCCAGTGCACAAATGTTGTGCACCAGGCCTCTAGTATATCCATATATATCTATATATGTGTCTATATATAGATATATATATGTCTATATATATATCTATATATATGTTATTTCAGAGAGGAAGGGAGAGGGAGAGAGAAATAGAAGCATCAATGATGAGAAAGAATCATTGATCGGCTGCCTCCTGCACACCCACTACTGGGATCGAGCCCACAACCCAGGCTTGTGCCCTGAATGGGAATCAAACCGTGACCTCCTGGTTCATGGGTCGATGCTCAACCACTGAGCACACCAGCTGGGCAGAAAATTTGTACACTTGGATCAACACCACCCATCCCCCCCTTGGCCACCAATGTTCTGCTCTCTGGCTCCATGAACTCTGCGAGTTTACATTCCATGTGCAAGTGAGACCACACAGGGTCTGTCTCTGTGTCTGCCTTATTCTGCTTGGCATAATGTCCTCCAGATTCACCCATGTTGCCAAAGGAAGAATTCCCTTATGTTTTTATGGCTGAATAACGTTCGTGGTTTCCATAGCTCGTCTATTGTGCCTCCCACTGCCGTGGACATGGGGGGGGGGGGGGGGGGTGAGTTTGACAGAACCTAAGAGGAAACACAAAAACCTTTTCATCCAAGTTCTAGAATGTTCGAGATGCTTAGGATTTCACATTCCTCTGTGATTCCAACTGACTCACTCAGCTATAGGGTTAGATTTTTTCTAGTTTTCACCAAAATCATACATGTAAGAAGGAAACAAGCGGGGGGGGGGGGGGTAGCTGTTATCTCTGAGAGGCTGATTCCATTTCCTGGGGATACATGCCCAGCAGAGGGACTGCCGGACCCCATGGCGGTCCTGTTTTTCATTCTCGAGGAACCTCCATACTGTTTTCTCCACAGTGGCTGCCCCAAGCACATTCCCTCCACCAGGGACCCTCCCCACGCCCTCGCCAGCTCGTGATCGCTCGTCTCGCTGCTGACAGCCCTTCTAGCAGGTGCCAGGCGCTATCTCACAGTAGCTAGCGCCGGCTCTCACTGCCCTCGTGATTGGTCATGGGCACCTTTTATGTACCTGTCGCCATTTGGACAACATCTTTGGGAAAATGTCTGTTCAGGTCTTGGCCTTTATTTCTAACTGGATTATTTGGTAGAGTTTTGGTGCCAACATAGACCTCTGTCACCTTCCCCCTCCCCCAAAGCAGAGAGCATCACGTGAACACCAGGTGAGACTGAGCATGTGTGACTGCCCAGCTGCGTTCTCGGCGGGGAGAGGACGGTCTCACAGGCCAGGCTGGGCTGAGGAACTCGACCACGACAGAAATGCTGCTTGTCCTCCTCGTGCGCCATGACTGCTCAGTGCTGGGTCTCAGTGCTCACCTGACGCGCTGACAGCGGCCAGAACAGCTCCTCCCATTGTCTCGGCGACTTACCGCTCTACCGGGTGCGCGGCTCTGAGCCCTGGGAACGTCCGGGGGACTCATTAACCACAGCACTTCCTGTCCGAGTCTCTCCTCGGCCACTGAGCCAGACAGGCGATCAATAAGCCAGCCTGCTTATTAGAAACGCCTCTGATAATTCCCAGGAAAGAGCAACTGGCTCATCAGTGCAGCCATGAACCCTGAGGGGGCACTCACAGCCACCGCCGGGCTTCTGCAGAGGAGACTGGCGCTCGCTGTCTCCCCACATAAACAGTTTTGGGGGGGCCTCTGCCAACTCCTGTTTGCAGCTGCTCCTCCTGTGCCACGTCGGCTCTGTCTGTGGGGACCTGGTTCCCCGGCCTGCACGCTTTCTCTGCCCACCCACCGGCTGCATCGGAGGCCTGGCCGCGGGGACGTCTGGGCAGGCACACGGTGACCTCACCGCGCACACTGACCCTGCCCACGAAGGAGTCTGTGCGGATCAAAGCTTTTGGCGATTTGAATCCTTGTTCCAAGTGTGTGTGATCCGTTCAGAAATGCTGTTTTTAATATGTATCGTGCATGTTATGCATCATGTATGTCCTAAGAACAGCTTCCCTTTACTGTCCTCTCGGTGCCAGGCGGCATCCAGGAGCTGCAGCCATGTTCTCTGACGTAACCCTCCCAGCCGCCTGCGCCAGGCCAAGCTGCCTCACCTTCCAGGTGAGCAAAGTGACGCTGAGGGAAGCTTCAGGGACTGCCGTTCGTGGGTGCCAGAGCTTATCTGACAACAGCGCGTGCTTTTTAATCTGCTGGATGATGCCACCTCCATCCATTCACTAATTCATTCATTCGCTCACTCATTCATTCATTCACTTGTTCATTCACTCATTCATTGATTCATTCATTCAATCGTTCATTCATCTACTGACCAGGCACCTAAAGGGACAGGGAATTCAAACACAGTCTTATTTGAGCAGATCCACAATTAGACAGTTATTGTGCCTTCTGGGTTAGATATTTAGATTTTCCACGTTTCTATGCCCATCAGACAAAAACCAGACACCAGACAGAAACCTAGAATCAAAGGATTTGAGAGCAACTCAGCACTATCGTCACAGACACACACATCCGTGGGTGCGGCCCCCACCCAGCACCCGGCCCCCTTACCATCTCCAGCTTTGCTTGGGTGGGCAGGTTCGGGTGTACTCAGAGGCCTCAGGGGAATGATGATCTCATCAACATTAACCCCTTCTTCTGCGTGCTTCTCAGACACGTGGGAGAGGAGCTCCGACTGACTTGGTGAGAAAAGGTTACAGCATTTACACATGAAGATGGCCGGGTTTTCTGTAAGAGAAAACACAGATGTTATTTCACCTTCACAGAAACAATGATCCCTCCGTCCACCTAAGAGAAATCCTGAAGGCTGCCCTTCGGAGCAGTCGCCCGCCTCCCACCGGCGTCTCTCTCGTGGACACCTGCAGAGCCAGGCAGCGCCCATCCAACCTCCCGCTGCCGGAGAGTTCTTCCCTCTGTTGTCAGAACTTCGGTCCTTCTGGATCAAGTCCGTTATGGACTCCCTGCTACCCAAAGCTGCTCCGCAGCCTAGCTTTCAGCAACGACACGGCAGCATAAAAACGAGCATGGAACGTGAAGAATTATACCCAACTTCAAATGAATGCGCTGCCCTGGCGGCGATGAGGTATTCCAGCTGCACTCTCTTAAATGAGGTGCGAGGAGGAACCGATCAAAGTAGCATTTCTCAAGCACCAAGACACTGTTCCACTGGCTGGCACGGAAACCAGGAACACGAAGGATGGGATCTGTCACTTTTCTAAGCCACTCACTTCCTATTTCAAGTGTCATCACCGTCCACAATTATCTACCGAGAGTCCATGATGTTCATCCACTGTGCTAGACAGGAAGACGGGCTGGGGACAAGTCCCTGATTTCCGAGTCTGACATAGTAATTACAGGCACAGGTAAGACTATTAAACTTAGGATCCAATGACCATGAAAAGCTAGAATGTTTTAAGTATTTTTTATTGGCTTTAGAGAGAGGAAGGAAGAGCGAGAGAGAAACCTCGATGAGAGAGAAACATTCCTAAGGAACCCCAAGTGCCACCTGGCCCCAGCCAGCCCTGGAAGGAGCCGGCTCTGCTTGGCTAGCGATGCGACCTTTGTTGAAGAGACAGACAGACACCTGCACGGCCGGGCAGCCTGGGTTCCGGAGCCCAGGCCCAGGCAGCGTGCACGGCACTCCCTCCCACACACACACACAGCCTGGGACTGCGCTGGGCCTGGTGCGGAGGGAACGGCTCAGAGGCGTCCGCAGAGCCGCGTGCAGACGGTAAAAGCCCGCGCACGCGAAGCAAGTGGGGGAAGGCTGCCTTCCCAGGCATGAAGGATGATAACCTGCCAAAATGCCAACAAAGGAGCGATTTCCCGTGTTAGAGCAGACGAATGTGAGAAAAACGGGCCTGGTCCCCTGAAACGTGACCATGCTGCCAGCTACCGGTGAGGAGGATGCACCATGCGGATGCCTCTTAGGCCCAAGTAGCACGCAGTCCTCCTGAGCGAAAGGGAAGCCCCGGAAGTGCGGGTCTGACCACTCGGGCCCGTGAATTACCCACCAGTGTTAGCTCCTCTGTGCTAGTAAAAGGGAAGCCTCAAAACAGCCGCATCAACAAGGCCTGGCTCCCGAACTCTGACTTGCAATCAGCCGGGTCCGGTGACCTCTGACACCACTCGGTCTGGGGGCCAGGAACATGTGGGGCCTCCGACCCCGCTCCTCCCTGGAGAAGGTCATGAGCTGGGATGGGCTCCCAGGTCCCAGGAGGTGGGCTGGGCCCAGGGCCTCTGGGCAGGGTCACTGGGAGCCGGCGGGTCCCACCCCTTCCTCTGGGCCCGGCAAGCACATGTCCTGGAGCGGGCCCAGCCCTGAGGCCCCCTCCCCAGCTCAGGATGGAGGGGATGGGATCCGGGACACTGGCTGTGCACCCCACACCGCTGTGAGCACCTTCCCCACCCGCCACCTTCGAGCATCACCTGTAGCGCGAGCCCCACCCGGCCCACCGCCGTCTTCCCGCAACAAGGGCGCTGCGGTGTGAGAGCAAAGATGGTCATGGCCGAGCTAAGCATCTATCAGCAGCCACAGATGATGAAGTGCCACATCATTAGACTATTAAGTTACGTTACTTAGATAGCTTTTTTAAAACTCTCTCCCTTCATCCCTGATCCGTATAAATCATCCTCTCTGCTCCGTGGGATTGATTAGCTCGAAGGCGAGCTGGGCGCCTCAGCTCCGTCCGTTCTGTCGTCTCCCCGGGAGGGGAGGGTGGCTGATCCTCCCAGAGCTGCGTTTCTGCTCCTTGTTCTTCACCTGCCCCGAGGTTATTAAATCCAGGAGAGCTGGCTGTGCTGCGCTCAGCATGGCCAGGGGTGAACCAGGAGGGGGTGGGGGGGGCGGCGCGGAGGATGGTGAAGGATTAAAGAAGACAGACAAGAGAAGAAAGCTGGGGCCGGGTGGGACACTGCTCTCGGATGGAGAGACAGCGCCACAACCTGCAAGCGAGTCTTTATTTTATAGCAGATGCCAGGAGGCAAAGCAAGGTCGTGGTCAAGATGTTTACAATGTTCTCAGGGGTTTCGGATCTACTCAATTACATGCACCTGATCAAGCTTTGTTTTGGCAGCACTTGCTGCACCTCCCGCAGCCCATATCACTCAGCCACGTGGCCCACAGGTTCGAACCAGAAGGTCAAGCTCACAACCATAGCCTTTGGCTATCATTGTGCTGGGACCTGCACGTGGCTTTGCCACGAGAGGACCGTGCCCTCTCATCAGTCCGAGGCTTGAACCTGTCCGAACGCTGCGGCCGCTCTCCACAGCTGGCAGCTTCCCGGGGGAGTGGGGATATTGAGCAACGTACAGCCACTCTGCTTCACGTCCAGAAACACAGCCTCACGTTGCGCAGCTCAGTACAATTTAAAATACCTTATTCCTTCATCTTCAGGGAGAGAGGCTGGGAATAGGACCAACCATTTTCCTTCCATTTCGTTTATTTTACAGAACTTCTTGTTAAATATCTTTTTATTGCTTTCAGAGAGGAAGGGAGAGGGAGAGAGAGATAGAAACATCAATGATGACAGAGAATCACTGATCGGCTGCCTCCTGCACACCCCACACTGGGGATCAAGCCCGCAACCCAGGCATGTGCCCTTGACCAGAATCGAACCCTGACCTCCGGTTCATAGGTCAACGCTCAGTCACTGAGCCACGCCGGCCGGGCTACTTTACAAACTTTTAACCAGCTACGGACACACCGTGTCACGTCATCGTCACACGTACTGGGAACTTGCTGTAACCAAGTAACGGGATTCACAGAGGAAGAGTAACGAGCAGGAAGCTTATGTCAGTTAAACCCTCCGGCGCTGGCACCCAGCAAGGCTCCCGCCGGCCTGTGTAACCCTCATAACAATCCCGTGAGATGGTTTTATTGTATTTCCTCAAACCCAAGACCTCTACCTCAAGAGGCCCCGATGCACACACCACTAGCTAAGAGAAACACCACCCGATAAACAAAGGCTCATCATCACACCAGGGCGAGGCGCCTCCCGGTGGCAGAGATGCTGAAGGTGAGTCACGGGATCGAGGAAATTCAGCCGCGCTGCAGGTTCCAGGCCCAGCACCCACTGCATGGCCCGGAGCCGGGGAGGCTGGCCGTGGACTGGGGGGAGCCCGACGCCCACCCCTGCTCTCCCCTCATGAGGCCCCATGCCCCACTCGGCACCCTCAACCACGCCGTCCGGCGGGAGCCCCACTTCTGGGTGTACCCCAGCAGTACCCTGCACCCCGACTTCCGGGGAGGGGAGGAGGAGAACCTTTTCTGAGTGCTGGGCACTTCCACACTCCTCCTCACAGGGACCCTGACAGCAGGGCCCTGGCTGGCCCTACAGGCACCCCTTCCTTAAGACACTAGCGCCCCCTGTCAGTAAGTGGCCATAATACACTGATTTTGTCGGAACAGGACACGCAACTACCATTTGCTGAAAACTCATGACAAACGTACGAATCTATACGTGAAACGAGCCCTCGTGGGTGTCCCACGGCCCTGCTAGCAAGGCAGCCGTGAAGGTATTGTCCCACGTGACAGAGGAGGGAACGGGGGCCCAACAGACCAGATCCGGGCCTGTGTGGCGCCAAAGCTACATGGTCACTGAACTCCAGGCAGGAAAGCAGCTGTGGGTGCATGCGTGGATGTGCATGTGTCTACACGAGAACATGCCAACCACATGCCTGCCGCAGGAGAGCACGTGGCGGACGCAGACCTCCCTGTGGCCGGGGCACCGGGGAAGGCTTCTGGGGGAAGGGAGCTGAAATGGTCCAGGAGCAGGCAGCACAGCAGAGGCAAGGCAAGGGCAGCGAGGAGCAGGAACTCCTGCCGGCAGGGGGCACGGCTGGCCTGGGGGGCAGCACAGAGGCGGGCCTTGCCCTCAGCCTTGTGTGTCGAGAGGGTAGGGCAAATTCAAGGTTAGGCAGGCAACCCAGGTGCCTCTGGAGGGGGCGGCAGCTCCTGGTCCGGGGAGAGCCCAAGGGCATGGCAAGCTCCTCGCTCACCCACCCCCGCCACGAAGAGCAGATCAGACTCCGAATGTGCTGCACGGGCCAGCGGAGCACCGTGCCCAGTACCAGAGGGCCCGTGGTTTGGGGAGGCCGGGCAGGGAAGGCCAGGAGCTCCCCTAGCCGGACGCTCTGGGATCCCCACATGTCGACCATGAGAAGGAAAAGCTGAAGTTTCCACGACTCAGAGTGGCACCCAACTGCCCCGGCCGCCCCGGCTGCAGGATGGCCTCAGACTGCCTCCTCTGTGGGCCCAGAGCGTCGCTGCTGTGACTGCACCTGACTCCTGCTGTCCTGGGAAGTGCCCAGCAGGCGATCGGCCATCATCACCCACCCCGCCCCCAGGACCACCCACATCTGCCCCATTTCAGGGAGAACACTGGGCGCAGAGAAGTTCATGAGTTGCCCAGGAGCCCAGCCAGATAAAAAGTCCACACTTGGCCGAGTTGCCCTTCCACGCTGACCGCATCTCTGCCCACCCACCTGCCCACCCGGCGGCCAGCACCGTGCCAGGGGAAATGCGCTATTTCCTGTCACAGGTGAGCTGGTCCCTGTGAGGAACACAAGCCTTGGTCCCCAATCTGAAGTTGGCATCATGGTTACAGACAGTTCGAACAGTAAATTACAACTAAGAAGGGTCGCTACTGCGAAAGGGGGCTTTGCTCTCCGCCTGTTAGGATTTACTACAGCAATCCATCGCGGGGCAGCAGGGAGCTGGAGAACGG